ATATATATTATAGGGCAAACAGGACACCAAATCATATTGGGAAAATGGGTAGGGTGTTTCCGTTCCACACTAAAAAATAGAAAGAGGTTATCAAACGACCAAAACGTTGATAAATGACAATTATATGTTGACTGTTTGTTCACTGAGCATAATAGGAGCATTATAAACAATAACAGGCGTATAATATAACAAGTTAAAGCAAGCCGACACAGATTAAAGAACAGATGGCACAGAAACAGGCCCTATCACTGTCTGTGGAGTCAACCTCCAACCACCCACAAAGACCTATCACAACCCATTTCCTTTTATGGCTTCCCACAAAGCGAGCAAAGCAAAGAAGGCGGTCACTACAATAAGACTGCTCCGTCACCTCAGTATTTCCCCTCAGCCAACTTGAATCAAACTTGCTACAAGTCGTAAGCCACCTCGGACCTTCTGATCGAAAAGGTAACGACCCTCGCACGCCTTGGTAAGCAAGCGAACAGCGCGGTGAAGATCGAAGGATTTTTGCTTTGACAGACGCAGTGGGTGATAGGCAGGTAGGAGGGGTGCCAGAGGAGAAAAGGGTGTGTGTGTTGGGGGGAGGGGGTGAGGGGGAGGATTGGGGGGTTGGGCACTTATCGATCCAAGGTTAACAGTTTCGTCAGCGGTTCGCTAAACAACTTGTGGAACTGCAAGGGAGCGTACAACTAAAAACTTTTTAAAATTCTCCACTCCATTAGACGTGTTAAAACGGAGGCGTTGAAGCAAAGATTTGAAAAATTTTGATCTAATTTGTCTCAGTAAAGAAAAGCACAATATAGGGCATAAAGAGTAGAGGAAAAGCAAGACAGACAGACAGAGGAAAAGAATGTTATAGGACTTGCCTGTGCCTCCCTCCGACCACCAACAATGGGCGTTGTTGCTGGATTTTTCTCTTGTTTGGACTTAGGTACACGTGGAATGCGAGTCGATAGAATTGACGTTACTTCATGTACTATGAGGTTTCTTGGACAAGAAATGCTGAAATCACGAGAGAAGCCCTCAAGTTGTGCATCCCCAAAAGTGAAAATGCAGATTTGAGATGCAACGTGCCAAACGTTTTCCTGCCAGAGTTGGTCGCTTTTAAGGACAAGCGGGCTAACCCTGATTTCGGGGGTTTCCAAAACTCTTGACCTACACCAAAAGTGGGCATTTAGGAGAAGTTTGGTTTTCATTGGTGTGTATATTTGTTGGGTTATAGAGAAAACTCTCGTTGTCTTTTAAAGAAACTGAACATGGGGGAAAACTTAACTTTCAATTTTCTCAAAACAACATTTTTCGGGATAACCCCCTTGTGCTTAAAAGCGACCAATTGGTCTCATTGACTATAGCAGACACCATAAGCCATCTTAATCCTTATTTCTTCTTTTGAAAAAAAAAATTTCCATTCTCCTCTGCAGATGCACTAATCATTATCAAACATTAACGTACAAAGTATTACATTACCTCTGGAAGCTAATTTAATGAGGTCAGTTTTGTGGGAAAACGCGAACTGACAACTGGAGTACGATTCAAGATTATGAACTGTTTACGCCCGTATCCGCCCAATTCAGACCTTTAGGAGCTGGGCTGCTTTGACCTTGTCTTTCAGGGTCAACCCGCGTTACACTGAATACCACGCCTCAACAGACATATGGACATTCTCAATCAAATAGCTTCCCTGCGTTTCAACCCATTTGTAAGGGTCAACTTGGGCTGAAAGGGATACAGTGCCCAAGCAGAAAGACGGGAGAATCTCGATAAAAATTCTCCCCACACGAAATCAATCTCTGGTTTTCTGAGTTTACGCCACAGATACCAGCTCGCCTTTTTAGGAAACCTGACAGTGTTGAAAGGGCCGTAGATACAAAATCTGACTATACTATACAAGCAGTGCATAACGGGTTCCGCTATACAACAGTTATGGTACGTGATACCAGCCAAAGGTCTTCTTCTTCTTCTTCTTCTTCCTCTTCTTCCTCTTCTTCCTCTTCTTCCTCTTCTTCCTCTTCTTCCTCTTCTTCCTC